ATTTATTTATTTATTTATTTATTTATTTATTTATTTATTTATTTATTTATTTATTTATTTATTTATTTATTTATTTATTTATTTATTTATTTATTTATTTATTTATTTATTTATTTATTTATTTATTTATTTATTTATTTATTTATTTATTTATTTATTTATTTATTTATTTATTATTTATTTATTTATTTATTTATTAAATTACCTTAATTAAACCTTATAATCCTTTTAATACCTTAATAAACTTATAAATACTAAAAAAACTATAATAAGAAATTCCTTATATTAGTACTTTACTATACTAGGTATAAACCTAAGGCTATTTAGGTAAAAACTAGTTTTTTTTATATACTAATTTACTATTATATAATAATTCTTAATAGTATTTAATAAAGTTTAGTATTTTTAGTAAATAGGTTCTTAAGCTATTATTAAGAACTAGCCCTAGAGTATTTATAGGTAGGTATTATAATAGTATTAACTCTCTTATAAAGTAAGAGAAAAGGAAAAGCTAGTCTATCTATTTACTTTAGTATATAAAGGGGGTATACTAAGGGTATACCTATAGTAGTCTTAGGCTAAGCCTAGTTTAGAGTAGGCCTAAGCCTAACTCCTTTATATACCCCCCTTCCCTTTTTATTACCTTAATTATATATATTATACTTACCTAAGCTAATATAAGCCTATTATACCCTATTTACTTAAGCTAGTATATATTAATATATATATAGTATTTATACTAAGCTATTACCTAAGGCTTATACTTAGTAGCCTATATATATATTACTAAAGAGTATTTTTATAGTAACTTTAGTTTACTTACTTTTTACTATAGCTTTTATATTTAGAAAATTCTTTTAAGTAGTTTATATATTATAATTACTCTTACTCTAGGCCTAGCTACCTAAGTAGCTAATACTTACTAGCCCTATTTTTAACCTATTTATAACTAATTATATTATATTCTAGTATCTTAGTACTATTAGTTATTATTTAATAATAGTAAATTATTAACTTATTATTATTAAGTAAAGTATATTATATATATATTATATTATTAGTATATTTAAAGTAAGGTATATTTCTTTACCTAATTAGCCTTTCCTTTTATAGATAAATCCTTTATTCCTTTTATTAACTAGCTTTATTTTTTTATACTTTATAACCTTTTTATTATTTTATACTTTTAAAATATACTCTTTTAAACCTTAAATAACTTTATAATAACCTCTAATTATAATAATAATAACCTATAATATTAACTACTATTACTATACTATCCTTACTACTATTACCTAGTAATAATATTAGCCTAGGGGGTATAAAAAAGGCTATTAAATAATTTATAGTTATACCCTATAAGGAGACTTTAATAATAAAGAGTATTAGTCTAATAATAAACTAGACTTCCTTTATATTATATATTTTCTATACTTATACTAAATAATAATACTTAAATATATTATAAATATTAATAATAAATATACTACTTATACTATAAGCTATTAGTTTTATATTTAAAAGCCTATCTTATTTATAAATAGTCTTAACTTATATTATTATATATATACTTTAGTATTATTTATTAATAATAATAAGGCTATTATAATACTAATAACTAATACTATATATACTAAAGAGTATAAATATATAGTTCTAATAACTATATAGTGTTAAGGGCTAGGCTACGGAGCCCGCCCTGGTCCTTCCAGAGTGGCCGGCGCGGAGCCCCTAGGGGGCCCCTTATAGGTGCAACCAGACAACAACAGGTCAGTATTGTTGTTACGAATCCTTTTGGCCTTACGGTCAAGGGGGTTAGGGCTTACGCCCTTGATGGCCGCGGGGCTGGTTGCCCCCGAAGCCCCTCTGGGGCCAGTCCGTCACACTTATTACTATTCTTAAACCTAAAGCTCTTAGTATAATAGGAAAATAGTATAGTAATAAACCTAAACTACCTTATTAAACTAATAACTATATACTAAGGTATTTAGTCCTTCTTAAAAGAGGCTAAAACCTATAAGTAAGTTATAAACTATACTATTTCTACCTATTAAAGGCTTTAGTTTAAAGACTACCTATAGATTCTAAGCTAAGAATTACTAATAACTACCTTAATAAAGAAGGTATACTCCTTACTTATAGTAATATATTTAAAGAAAAATACTATATTTTTATTATTTATATAGAATTACTATTAGTCTAGAATATCTTAAGATATTATATACTATATTTAGAATTATAAATATTTTAAAGTATATAAATTAAGAAAACTATATTAAGAACTCTTATAGCTAATTCCTATTAAAAAGTAATATTAATAATAAATCTTAATTAACTTTATAATAAACTTATTAGCTTAAAAAGAAGGCTAGTTATATTTCTTAATAGTAATTACTAATTAACTATTAAAATATATCTAGCTTAAGATAATAAGCTTTATAATAATAAAGAACTATATAATATAGTTCTTTTTATATTAATAATATTTTTATAGATTCTTTAATTAAATTATAAGTAATAAAGGATTAGACTAGCTTAGTAAGTTCTAAAGAATACTATATTACCTAATTAGTATTAAGTAGTTTTTATTAATAGCCTTTTACCTTTAAATAAATAGTAAGATAAAGTAAGTAAATTAAAAAATATAGGTAATACTTTATATACTAATTCTATACTCTTAATATAACTAGCCTACCTAGTTACTAATAACCTAGTTTATATTTAATAACTAAGACTTATTTATTATAAGTTTTAATCTAAACTTCTTATTATATAGCTATTATAAGCTAGCTATATAGCTTATAATAAAGCTATTAATACCTTCTAAGTCCTTTATAAAAAAGGTAAAGGTATTTTTTAAATATATTAAGAAGGGCTTAAAGCTAGCCTAGGCTATAATTATATATATTTAATAATAAGTTAAAAAGGCTATAAATAACTCTTAGTACTTAATAAAATACTTCTAGAAAAAGAATAAAATATAGCTTTCTTTATATAATATTATAATAATATAATTAAATAAAAAACTTAATTAGGTTTAAATAAAATATATAATAATAATAGTTTTAATACTACTAATAATAACCTTTAATATATTAAAGAATCTTTATAAGATATTCTATATTAATCTTATTAAATAAGCTATAAATAATTCCTTTTTATCTTAATTATAAAATAATTAAGCCTTTAAGCTAGTATTAGTTAAAAATAAACTAAGCTTAAAATTAACTTAAGAATATACTATTAAGGAAATTTTATATATTTACTACCTATTAGGATAAGGCTATAAAAAAGAGGTATTTATTAAATAGATAAGATACTAAGACTTAACCTAAAAACCTTTAAAAGTATTATAAGATAATACTATACTTACTAGGTTTAAAGAATAATAAGGTAATATTTAAGATAATAATAGACTATATATAGCTTACTTATAAAAGACTAAATAAATATAGTTTATTAACTAATAATTAAGATTATAATAAATATAATATTAAGGTATAATACTTTATATAAGTAAAATAAGGTATTATATTAAGAATAAAAGGGATTTATAAGATAATAGAAAGTAGTAATTCTTTTATTCTTAAAAGAGTATAACTCTATACTTATAGCTTTACTAGGTCCTTATTAAGCCCCTTAGTATATATAACTTAGGCTATTAAAGGTTACTAATAAAAAGAAAAAATAATATTAAAAATATAAACTATAGGTATATTAGTATTATACTAAGGCTATAGTAAACTAGCTAGGTATAATAAAAAAAAAAGAAAAAGAAAAAGTATAAAAATATAAAACTAAAGGTATATTAGTATTATATTATTTTAAAAATATAACTATATAATAATAAAATAAAAAAGAAAAAATAATATAATATATCTATATTTATAATATAAAGTCTAGAAGCTTTTTATTACTATTATTAAAGTCTTTAATAATAACTATTAGACTAAAGAAGGTAAGGGTAGTAGTATTACTAGTTAAGTTATAAGGTAGTAATAAAGAAAGAGAAGGGTATATTTAAATAGGTAATATTAAGTAATTATTAGGTATAGAAGAGTAATAATAAGAAAAAGAATAGTAATAATATAAGTATAAATAGGAATAAAAGTAATAATAGTATAAATAAGAATAGTATAAGTTATTATAATAATAGTAATAATAGCTACTAAACTAGTAGTATAAAAAGTAGCTATAATCTAAGTTATAATACTTAATAGCCTAGTAGCTAGGTATTAAGAGGGTAGCTAGGTACTATAATATTATAGCCATGGTTTTCTGGTGTCCTGGTGTTTGGGAATAGGGGTGTTATGGTAAGGTGTATAAAGCGTGTGTGTAGGGTCCCCTATTATATAGGCAGCCTAGCCTAAGTATAGTAGGGCCCCTATAGGTAATAGGCGTTATTATAGACATAGTAGAGGTAGTACTAGCTTTTTATTTTAGCTAGGGTATAGGACCCTATTTATAATATTAAAAAAGCTTACTATAATATCCTACTACCTAGTAGCCTAATTTCTCTTTTCCTAAGATAATAAAAGGGGGTAGTAGTAGCCTTTTTCTCCTATAGTTATTAGGATATATTCTATATAATATATTACTATTAACTATACTAATATTCTAGTACTTACTACTACTACCTTTACTCCTATTACTCTTAATACCCTTAATCTAAATACACCTTATATATACCTACTATTTACTTTACTAGTAGCTATTACTACTATTACTACTAGCTAATATACTTTATAGGTACTATAATAGCTACTACTATTTACTTACTCCTAGGTAAGGCTATAACCGTTTTATAGTAGGTATAGTATAGGCTATATAACTAAAGAGGCATTTTATATATTATCCTAAGTCTAACTTATATTATATATATACTAAGTATAATAATATAGGACTATTACTCTTAGGGATAGAGATATATTACCTTAAGGCCTATACTATAGGTATTACTAAGGTATTTATATAGGTACTTAAGTTAGAGTTTAATATATATATCTTATATACCTATACTATATAGATTCTTTATTTAAAGCTAAAGAGTCTTATAATAAACTTATTTACTATTTAGAAGTTAGGTATATTTATACTAGTTACCTTTATAGTAACTATAGTAAACCTAAAGCCTATTATCCCTATATAATTTAGTCTAATTAGTAATACTTTTATAATTATAAGTGCCTTAGTAGTAGCTAAGTTTAATATCTTTAATCTTAATAATATATAGCCTTTATTCTATTAGTCTATTATAAAGAGTTAGATACTACTTAACTAGATATATACCTTTAATATATTATAGAAGCTATACTTTAAAAAGGTTTCTACTTTTATAGCCTTTAGTTAGAAGGTATCTTATTTTAGTAAGTTATCTAGTAGTATCTATAAGTATAGTAAGGATAATATATATTTAGATTATATATTTATAGTTATTTTCTATATCCCTATATTCTTATTTAAATATAAGATATATATATTTATAAAAGTAAAAGTACTATATCTACTATAGGATACTATATAGGGTATTAAGATAGGGAAGGGTTAAACACCTTTACCTATTAAATAGCTAGTAGAGGGTTCTATAGAGAAGGAGGAGATTAAGCCTTAGGAGTTATAGGAGTTATAGTTATTACCTATACTTAAAGTTTATAGGCTTTATACTACTATATTTTAAAGGGAGAAGTATCCTAATAGTTAACTAGAAGCTAATATTATTATCTATCTTATCTAGCTCTAACTAATCTAGCTCTAGCTAATCTATATTATCCTTTTATACCTTTTCTATATATAGTAGTACCTATAGGTTTATAAATATATAGTTACTATCTATCTACTTATAGTTAATACCTATATAGTTATAAGGGTCTTTATTAGATAGATATATATAAGGCTTACCCTAAGTAGTAAAATTAGTCTTCTTTATATACTTATCTATTATAAAGAAGTTATTCTAATACTTAAATATCTATTTATAGTACTTCTATATATCCTTATTTAAAAAAAGGATATTATTAATAATAATATAGTCCTTATTACTATTAAATAGTAATATATTCTAATAACTATTTATATAGTAGTAAGTACTAAGTTAATAGGCCTATATAGTCTTATAGAGCTATATCTTACTATAAATATAGAAAGACTTAGAATATACTAGGTATAAGGATATATAAAGGTTTTCTAATAACTAGCTCTTAATCTTATTAAGTAAGACCTAGGCTTTACCTATTAAAATAGGTAGTATATAGATTAGTATAGGTAGCTAGAATATATTATCTATATAAGCCTAGATATTCCTATAGTAGAGAATTAGGTTATATAGTATCTTACTACTAAGGTATAAAAAGAAGCTAGACTTATCTTTAAAGGCTACTATATTCTTCTATATTATAGACTTAGCCTTTTACTAGAAAGCCTTAGGCTCCTATATATTACTATTAATATACTTTATACTATACTTATTAAGGTATTACTAGATAGTTAGATAGCTTTTTATTTTTTAAATATTAAGGTAATATTAACTAATATTAAAGAACTTAGTATTCTTAATATTATACTTCTATAACTATTTACTAATTATATAGAAGTATAGTATTCTATTCTTATACTCCTTTTATACTATATAAAAGTGCTTAAAGCTAAAGGATTTAATACTATTAAGAAAGTCCTATATAGGTAGGAAGTACTTTAGGTATATAAAGAATACTAACTTTACTACTAGTTAAAACTAATATCCTATAGACTCTATAGGTATTAATAGTATATTATTATTATTATTAAAGGTCCTTAAGATTACTAGGCTTAGTATTTCTTTAAAGATATCCTTAAGTTACCTAGCTAGTAGTAGCTAATAGTCTTATAACTAGTTATATAATAGTATTATATAAAGAGTTATTAATAGCTAGTCTAGCTATATAAATAAGATATTATTAAATATTTATATAGGATCTATAGTAGTTATTATAAAAAGAGAAAGGATAAGGGATATAATAGGATACTCTAATGTTAGTATCCTAGCCTAGCTATCTTATATATATTAACTATTGCTGCCGGTATAACTTAGTAATCCTGTCTAAGAAATCAGGCTGCTAGGTAGTAGGACACTATAGTAAGCTTTTTTAATATTACTTTTTAATTCTATATAATTTAAGGTTTATTATTACCTTTTAAAGTATCTAGATTATATTATTATAATTTATTTAAAAGATATTATAGTTAATTATAAATACTTTTATTATAAAAGATAATATTAAATAGAGTTTATTTAACTTAACTTTATTTAATTATAAAAAATTATTAATAAAAACTAACTTTTATTTAAAATATATATAATAATAGTTAAAAGACTTTTTATTACTTTATAAGATTATACTAAGGTTTATTATTATTATAAACTATTAATAAAGGTTATTAAATATTATTTTAAAGTATATAAAGAATATATAAAGGTTTATTTTATTTTAAAAGCTATTTATTTTAAAATATATAATAACTTTTATTTATAATATAATATTAAGGTTTACTTAAATATATATAAACTAAGACTTTAAAGAGTTAATAAAGTCTATATTAGTTTTAAACTTATATACTATAACCTATTTTTAGTTTATAAATACTTTTATATTATTATTAAACTTCTTCTTTATAGGTAAGGGTTTTTATTAAACTATAGGTATATTAGCTAGAAAAAGAGTATTTTTAAATATTATAGTCTAGCCTTTAGGAGTCTAGCTAGCTATATTCTAGGTATTAAAAAGGTTTTATAGTTATTATAACTCCTTTTTTAAAAATATATTCTATTTTATTATAGTTATAAACTAAACTAAAAGTACCTAATAAACCTTAGCTATTAGTAATTATTATTTAAATTATAGTTTTATTATTATTATTCTTATTTTATTAACTTTTTTCTTTTAACTAAATAAAAGGGGTATTAATAAGGAAGAGAGTTAATTATTAAAAACTAGCCTTAAGGTATTTATAGGTAGGTATTATAATAGTATTAACTCTTTTATAGAGTAAAAAAGGAGGAAAAGCTAGTCTATTTATCTACTTTAGTATATAAAGGGGGTATACTAAGGGTATACCTATAGTAGCCTTAGGCTAAGCCTAGTCTAGAGTAAGCCTAAGCCTAACTCCTTTATAGTTATTATCTTAATATATATTCTTTTATATTAATTATTAATTATTAATTATTAATTTTTATAATATAATAGTTTTATATTAAAAAGTTCTATATAAGTTAGTATATAGATTACTAGTTTAAATCTAGCTAAAAGTACTTTAAATAATCTTTTTAAAAGTTAAATAATATATTTACTTTATAATAACTTATAAAGAAATATAAGTAAGGTAACTATTAAGTTAGCTAAGGTAAAAGTTAGAAAGTAATATATATTAATTACTATATTACCTTAGCTTTTAATTAATAAAATAAAGTTAAAACTAATAAAGGATTCTTAGGATAACTATATTCGATAGTACGATATAAAATATCGTAACTGCTATAGCCGCTAGGCTACTAATTTCGGCTCTCGACTTTTTGAGAGTCCAACTTCCTTTGCTCATACTCTCGAATCCGTCGATATGTCTCAACCACATCTTGTCTTTCCTCTTCTAGCTGTTCACGCCGCCTCAGGCTGCCAGCAGCCTGAGGCACACTTCCAACATTGACCGTAGTTGTTCCAACTACTTTAAGAAGTCTTGACTGCTTTTTGTGTAGCTCTGGAGGAGCCTCTGCCACATCGTTTAAGCCGTGTTTCAGCTCTCCTCTTTTCTTCTTCAACTCGGCCCAGGGGTCATCTTCGAGGGCATACTTACCATGCTTTCCCTTCTTCTTCCGGTTTGAGCCTTCTTCAGCGTCTAGAACAGAAGTAGAAAGAATGTCAACTCCATCGTTCTCAATTTCCCGTTCTGCCGCCAGTTCTTTCTCTTCCTCCCTCTGTTCTTGGATTTTCAGCTCCTCTTCTCGCCACTGGTCGTACAGTTTATGCATTTTTCGCTCTTTTCGGGTTCTTTTGGTTTTGATGCCATCTAGATCCTTACTTCCTTTAATGCCCGATTTTGTTGATACTCCTGCCAACGGCATTGCAGCATCAACGCGTGCCGCAAACGCTCTCAGATCTTCGCCAGGCTTTATTTGTAGTGTTTCGCCTCGTTGTCTCGGTTCTGTCTCGGTAGGCTTTTTACTTTTGCCGTCGTCAAGGCCAGGGTGAAACTTTTTCCCAGACGAGAAAGCCATCAGTCGTTGAAAGGCTCGAGGCGCGTCCATGTCGGATTTGGCCTGGCGGCGTTTCTTTGCTTGCCGAGATATACCATTCGATACACTCGTCTTTGAATTGACAGGGAGTGGCATTGCCCTTTGCGATGGTGGTAAGTTAAAACTGTAGCCATATTAGTTGCACAGTGCCGGTAACCGTTTGATAACTGACATACTCGGCATCGTCACCTCGTTTCCGCTTGTGCTTGTGCGGCATGCTGAAGTATGGCGGTTGCGTAACCCGCTCAATCTCCAGGGTCTCGCGCTCGAAATTCCTCGTAATGCAATGTTTGTCAGTTATGCGGACGATGGATTCCCAAAGCAACGGGAAGTTGTCAAGACAAAGAAAAAGTCTTAGTGGGTCTGGTGGGGCTATTGACAGCTTCATGGTCAAATTCATGTCATGCCTGCTAACGTTAGGTGTGGATCCCACTTTTGCTGTTGTGTGACACTTCACCAACAAATCGAAGAGTGGGTTCACGAGCAAAGACAATGCACAACACTTAAATCAATCACCTACATAGGTACCCTGTCAACCTATCTAAGTCGAAGACTACCCATTCTTGGATACCTTTGTGCCAGCGCCAAAAAATGACATAGTTCGCCATAGCGCTCAGGTGTATTGTTTGCTGTTGCCGGCCGCCCCACACCAGTCGAAGAACAATACTAAGCGATGAAGTGCATAGAATCTCTCTCCCACTGTGGCTTGTATTCGATGTATGCGGTATTGTCTAGTTCAAAGTAGAACCTTAGTGTCTCTCGCTGGACCAATAGACAGCTCTTGAGCACAT